ATCTGGCCATGTGTAGCAACATGGATGGACCTTGAGGGTGTTATGCTGAGCGAAATAAGTCAGGCAGAGAAGGACAAATATCATATGTCTGCACGTATAGGAGGATTAGGAGGAACTTGACGGAGGAACAAGGGGGAGAAGAAGGGCGGAAATGGTGGGGGAAAGGGAGAGAGGCAAACCATGAGAGACTCTTGAATGTTGACAAAAACTGAGGACTGATGGATGTGGGGAGGAGGGGGGATGGGCATGGAGGAGGACACTTGTGGGGATGAGCACTGAGTGTTATGTGGAAACTAATTTGACAATAAACTATTTGTAAAAAAAAAATGATTTTTTAATGTTTATATTTGAGAGACAGAGACAGAGTGCAAGCAGGGGAGGGGCAAAGAGAGAGGAAGACACAGAATCCAAAGCAGGTTCCATGTTCTGAGCTGTCAGCACAGAGCCTGATGAGGGGCTCGAACCCATGGACCGTGAGATTATGACCTGAGCCAATGTCAGACGCTTAACCAACGGAGCCACCCAGGTACCCCATATCATTATTGTTTTTTTGTTTTGTGTTTTGCTATACAGTAAATTTCTTGAGGGTGGAACCTATGATTTTTTTTTTTTTTTTGTATTTTTGTAACACAGTATCTTACACAGTGCCTCCAGCATAGCTGGCTCTCCATAAATGTTTGCCGTATTAAATTAAAGTTTAAACAAAAATTGTTTTCAGTAGGGAAAGAACCTGTACATTTCTCTAGATGCACAGACCTCATTAACATTTTGATTCTGTCCCTTAGCTCTGAGGCCTCCAGCAAGTTACAGAACTTCCTCGGGCCTCCGTAACCCCAATAGCAAAATGAGAAAATATCCACCCATCGACGTTTAAGAAAAATAAACACAATGACCTGGAAAGTGCTTGGCACAGTGTCTGGAGTAAAGATCCACCCAAGAGGTGCCAGCCGCCTCATTTGCATTGTGTAGACAATGGTGATACTACAGAACACTCATATGTAATGAATAACCGAGAAAAATCTGCAAAAGGAATTTCCCCCAAGAAAATGGTGTTCACAAACTGTGTAGGAGAGTCTCCTGAGCATCATCAGAACAGGGAACCCCTTCTGCCGCGCATGGTGTTAGCAGCGGGCTCCCTTCAGCCGGGCCAGAGAAGCCTCCGCAGCTGCAGAATTGTGATTCAATAGGGCGGCCCTTTCCTCTCCCTTTGCTGACAAACTTTCAGGAGACAGTGGAGTTTCCTATCTACTTACACACCAATCAAGCAGTCAGGCTTAAAAAGATGTATGTGTACAGGTCTCTGTCCTCTGGATTGTTAAATATAACCGGACTGAAAATCCTTAACTCCATTTTTGCTCAGTGACACTTTTTCAGACAAATCTTTCTTTTTTTCCTTTGCACCATTAGAAGTTCTGGCAGATTGTGTTTTGGCCTTTGCACTCAAGGCTGCAAGTTTCGTAAGGTCAAAGGTCATGTTTGTCTCCTTCGCTGCCAGAGCCAGTAGCCTGGATGCAGTCCAGCCCCTGGCAAGTGACACCTGCTCTATAAATGTTTATAGAATAAAATTTTGGAATCCCGTTATTGATATTTAATCCTCCACTAATCCGCAGAATACTTTTAATATATAAATTATATCAAGGAATTAATGCATTCAATATCCATGAGACGGGGGCCTGGGTGGCTATGTCGGTTGAGCATCTGACTTCGGCTCAGGTCACGGTCTCATGTTTTGTGGGTTCGAGCCCGACGTTGGGCTCTGTGCTGACAGCTCAGAGCCTGGAGCCTGCTTCGAATTCTATGTCTCCCTCTCTTTCTCTGCTCTCCCTGCTCGCACTCTGTCTCTCAAAAACAAATAAACATTAAAAACGAAAATAAAATATCCACGCGAGCTATATTATCTGAAGTTTTGTAATATATGTCTGCAGCTGTTCTTGTGGTCCCCATCCTGGATGCTGTCACCTGGTCTGCTGGTTTTGTGCGCTCAGAGCTGAGTGGCCCATATCTGTAGGAGAAGGTTCTCTTTGGGGAGGAGTTAGCTGATTTTGGGAAAGTGAGGCCCTTACATCCCTTGTCTCTGCCCAATGTGTAAATTCTCTGAAGGGTTTGTAAGGCGCCAACGGGAGCGCTGTGAATATCAAACGCTTTCCATGCACAGATTCGGTTCTTTTACAGTTTCTGTGAGAACCACAATGAAGCCTCAAAACGGGCAAATGAAAATGTTTTCTATTTAAAAAAGCGAGTGAGGAGAACACGTACCTGAACAGAAGTCATCAGAGTATCTGTCATAGACAGCCCTGCAGTCTCTTTCATCACACTCACAGGTGGCCCCGTGAATATCTCCCCAGTCTCCAGTTGGGTCAACATCGTGGCACGAACATTCGCCACACACACAAGTCCCTAGATGGGAAAGCAATTGGATATGGTTTTCATGAAGAAACACCATGAAAGAAAGCATCTTACTTGTTGCTTTTTAAAATCTTTTGCTTACGGTGTGTACTTGGAAAATACATATATCGGAGAAAAACATTCTACAAAGGAAAAACACCATCTAACGTGGACAGTAGAGATTCTTTAATAAACAAAAGTTATTTTCTGTGTCTCTAGTTGTGTGGGTTGTGAGATGTGTCCTTAGCACGGTAGTGGCTTCTCTCCAAAGTAGCATCAAAACAATGAACACGAGTTAGAATCCTCGCCCTCAAGAAACCGGCAATCTATCATATGACAAAAGGAAACTAATGGAAGACTGTAGGGTCAGGTACCAAAGTGTAAAAGGTAGTTATACCTAGATTTCTTAAATGTATTTTAAAATATCTGTATCTGGGGGCGCCTGGGTGGCTCAGTCTGTTGAATGTCTGGCTTCGGCTCAGGTCGTGATCTCACAGTTCGTGAGCATGAGCCCTGCTCAGGCTCTCTGCTGTCAGCGCGGAGCCTGCTTCACATCCTCTGTCCCCCTCTCTCTCTGCCCCTCCCTTGCTCGCATGCTCTTTCTCTCAAAAAGAAAACAAACATTTAAAAAGATAAATAAAATATCTGTATTTTAAAAAATGAGGGGCGCCTGGGTGGCTCAGTCGGTTAAGTGTCCGACTTCGGCTCAGGTCATGATCTCACGGTTCGTGTTCGAGCCCCGCGTCAGGCTCTGTGCTGACAGCTCAGAGCCTGGAGCCTGCTTTAGATTCTCTATCTCCCTCTCTCTCTGACCCTCCCCTGCTCATGCTGCCTCTCTCTCTCTCAGAAACAAATAAAACATCTAAAAAAATTTTTTAAATGAATGCATGTGGTTTTCATAATAGTATAACTGAAGTGGGAGCAGAAGATGAGGAGAGGTATGTGCTAAAGTGAGTACAGCATGACACTGAATAAACCATTTGGGCAACACAGGACATTTATTCTATCCCGATTAGCTGTGTCTACAACGAAGGCTTTCTGGCCCTTGGAGATGGGCTAACAAGGAAAAGGAGGTAAGCCTGTGCAGGGATTGGTGTCTCTCTCACCCCAGGGAAGCAATGATGAGAAGAGATCCAGGGGAGATGCGGATGGAACCTTCTGAGAAAGAAAGGGCTCACTGCAGTGCTTCCCCCCAACTTGCCTCCGGGAAACCCCGAATCTCACTGCTAAGCAGCCCCATTTGAAACATGCTGCCTCCCAGTCTGCCTCTGCCAGATCTCCCTATCGGACAAGCTCGAAGCACAGGGAAAGAGAGGCAGGAGGTGAGATCGCAGCGGTTGGCGAGCGGGGTGTGTCTCTTAGAGCCCATCTATCCCTGCTGCAGAACCGGGCCAGTCCACAGCCCAGCCATTTCCATTTTGCTCCTCTTTCCTTTCAACATCTCATGGGAACACAGCCCACGCTTCCTATACTGACATCACGACGGTGATGACTGACCCTACTGAATAGAAAGAAGCAGGAAGAAACATGAATTAGTGGGATATATAGTCAGACCTACTCTGCATAAATTAAAAAGAGATTTTCTTTATGGTTTTTCTTCCAACTTCAGGCCTTTGGCTTTTCTTTCCCTATGCACAGAAACGTGGCCCATTTTTCTCTTCTGCATCAATTTCTTATGCCATTGTTTAAAAAGAGAAAATCAGTTGTATGTTAAGGTTTCCCACATAAGCATTATGTTAAAAAGCACCGTTCATTTACAGAAATTAAAAAATATAATTTTCCTACTTTCTCAATTTTGTAATATTATAGAAGGAAATATGGTCCCTTATTTATATTGTCAAGCAGGCAACAAATGGTCCAACATATTTCTCTTTTGTCTACCAGTTTAGTTACTAAGTGAAAAATGACAATACTTTCAAAGATTTCTAAGAAATTGTTTATTTATTTTTGAGAAAGAGAGCAGGGGAGGGGCAGAGAGAGAGGGAGACAAAGAATCCCAAGCAGGCCACCTGCTGTCAGTGCAGAACCCAACATGGGGCTCAAATCCATGAAGTGTGAGCTCATGAGCCAAAATTGAGTCAGATGCTTAACCAACTGAGCCACCCAGACACCCAAGTGTTTTCCAGGACTTTTAAAAAGTATTTAAATAAAACTAATTTGATTTGACATCAACAGCTAACTCCCTTTAAAAGACATTTTAGCAATACCAGTATAGTCTTAAAACTCATATCGAATGTCAGTCTAAACTTTATGTGGTTGTCTGACACACAGTTTCTATACCTGTCCCATATCATTTTTATTATTGCAGATAAAAGTTAAGTGACTCCAGATCAATTCTGTATTACAACCAAGCCTTCCATTTACTCATAATTAAGACAAAAGGGTTTCTTGAATGCTCTCTAGATAATTAGATGCTCATGCTGTCGATGGTTCTGTTTGTCAAGAGACATTTAACAGAAGTATCTACAAGAATACTTTGTATTGTCTTTTAGCTCTACTATGTTTTTTCTGGATGGCCGCCAAAGAAATTATAGTCCCTATGTTAACTATTTGTTCAGTGAAGCTGAAAGACCCACAGCAACTTTCTTATCTTTCTGCTTTGTTACTCAGTAACAAATAAGAAAGAGAAGACTGCCTGCATTGTAAATGTTGACTTACATCAAAGTCAAGCACTGTAAAAGACGACTTCCCTCCACACCCAAGGAAATACAGAGAAAAGGAGGGTTAACCATGAAGGGCTTTGTTTTCCTCCCAATTCATAGTAATGTGGATGAATGACACACCTCTGTTACTGCAGACTTGGCCATCTGGAGATGTGCATCTTCGCTTGCTCTCCCAGGGGGTGATATCACACTGGAATTCACATTTATCGCCATGCCAACCAGCCTCGCAGTAACAGTTTCCACAGTAACACTTTCCATGGCCTTTACCCAAAATGAATTTTATAGAGTGAGGGGGGGGAAGCAAATTTTAAAAGCAAAATTTACTTTCTGCCTGTTTGTGATCATTTTTGCCTTTTGAAATAATATACTCTATAATCCTTGCTTAAAATAATCAAGTAATGGATTTGCCCCTCGCACATCATGATTGTGCATACACCTCCATAATCACACACACAATGCAAAAGCAGGTGTCTCCTAATTTGTCCTAGCCAGGTAGCTGGTGAAAATGAAAGAAATTTGAAGAAATGACATGAAAGAATGGGAAAGGCTGGTCTACTACCCTTCCGATCTCAAGTGCATGCATCAGGGTCAAATGTATGCAAGCATTTGTGCTAAGGGCATTTCTTGAATTAGTCATCCAAGTATTTCATTTGAATTCAACCATTGAGAAACCAGTGGTACATATTTACTTGGAAGCACATTATTAATGACTGACTGGTTCCTAAACCAGAGGAGATATTTCACCTTTTCGTTCAACTGTGGCCCACAAACTGCTGTGTTCCACCATGTGGAAAAGAGGTTTTCAGTTCAACCAGTGTTTATTACTCCTTTAGGCCAATAAAGTAGCATGGACCCTTGGCCTCCCAATCAAAGCCCCCTCCTATTCATCAAGGGGACAGGATGTCCCATCAGTTTGTGTTCTAATGCCACCACACCCCTTCGGCTCCTTTTAAACTTTACCCTGCTCATTTGTACTTATGTCCAAGCCACCCCTCTTGAACTGTCACATCATTGCTTCTTGCATCCATATCTAGACATCCTACAAGTTCCCCAAAGTAGCAATTCTATTTACCTCAAGTCACTTCTTAGATCCTCCCTTTTTGTAGTTACATGAATTCCTAGTAGTATAGTTATGTAGTTACCTACCCAACCATGAATGTGTGTTTCTTCTTGTAAATATGATGAAAACAAGGGTCATGCTGGGTTTTGCTTAGTCTATTCTTTCTGTTTCATAGAAATTTATGTTTCATCAGAGTTTATAGCTAAAGTCTTTGTTCTTCCCTCTCTCTTCTCCTGCAGCCATAATCTCAGAGGGCCCTTGGGAAACTAATTGTGAGGTTATTTTTTCTTCCTAAACACTATGGCATTTCTGGCTCATGGCAAAAGTGTCTCACACAAGACAGGGGGATATACAATAGAATATTTTGGTCTCTTATGCTATTCCTGTCTATAAAAAGAAAAAGCAGACATACATCAGAGAGACAATGGGAGAGAGCAAGAGGAAGAGTAATATAGTGAGATATAAGAAAAGCACGGGACCCAAGCGCATGATGCCATGTTTTCTACCTAAATGAGCTGTAATTTGGGTGTCCATGGAAAACCTCTTATTAATCTAATAGTCACTGATCAATTCTACAACAAATTTTAATTTGTTCACTTAAACAAATGTAAAGGCTACCAAATGATTTCATCAGTAATAAAATATAAAAGCTATACCAATGATGTCTCTCAGGTACCCACACAAAATATCACATCCCAATGCTATGTCCTCAGGACACTGGAACTACACTGGAAAATAGCAAGACAACTGTGTGCTAAAAGCTTTTCTAGAAGTCAGTTTTTTCAAGACTTAACTTTTAAACTAGAATTTATTTCCTCTGTAATTTCAGGAAATTCATATAAGGTGCTACATAGGTAAGGATTACCCTGACATTTACAAATAATCCCAAATCTACATTCTTTACACTCAAATTATTTGTATATTTATAAAATTCAGAATGGAATCAGGGTTTTACTAAAAAACCATTGAGATATAGGTGAACAAGGAAAGAAGAGTCATGTAAAACTACACTTGTATGTAGATCTGAAAAATTAAGCAGATATCTTCACAACCCAAATGAAAATACTGTTAACAAAACACATTTGGATAATGGAGATAAAATATAAGCTTGGGGCAATACACAGTCCAGACAATAAATATCATTCTTTGCTTTGAGTAAACTGATGGAGCAAGAAAATCTCCTTTTAAATTGTTTTACTGATGGGCTGTAGAATCACCTCTTAACAGATTGGTTTCATGCGAATGAATGATGTGTGGAAAGATCTACAATTCCAGTCAAAGTCGCCACCAGAGGATATTTACCAAAGCGCTGGTGTTTCTGGTCAGAAACTTTGTGCCTTAAAATTGCTTAAGTCTCAAACAAATGGAGATAGTAAATAGCAAGGTTGGGAGTTAAACATTTCCTGTCGTGTTACTTCAAGTCCAATGTTTATATTTACACATGCAAATAGACTTTGCTTTGGTGATGTGTATCAAAACACAAGAGCCCCAAACATGTTCCCTTCCTCTTTGTTTTGGGTACATGATAATTGGAAATGAAACATCAGGAGGAGAGTAGATACATAATATTTGTGGGTAGATTTACCTAATTGTTCTAGTTATTTTGGATTGAGCCCACTCGCAGAACTGTCCGAGTAGCATCTAGCTTAGGTCGCTGCCTTGAAAAATGTAAATTTTGGTGTTTGTTTTATCTTGGTGGGTTGCACAGCAAGAAAACCAGAGAGAACCAAACAGACTTCAGATAAGAGTATCTGGATTATCACAAGATTTGAAGCTACAATTTGTTTTTGCACACAGAGGGCCAGGTTGGCCTAAGTCAGTGGCACCTTCCCTGTGGCTCTATGGTCCCCCGGCCCCACTGGCTCCTCATCCTTCCATACAAAATACTCTTCTGACATCACCCATCCTTGCAGGCACAATAGGATTCCATGGATTGGAATCATGTCAGAGATAAATCAAATAAGTGATCGCTTATTAATGGAGAGATGAGGCCAGATGCAAGCAGGCTAAAACTTTTAATACACAGTAGAGAAGAGTTTATGTGAGCTGAAGGGATGCTCATTGGTCTCTCCTCTCCTCTTCTGGGCTACCCATAGTTGTTGCAAATGTAAACTCTGGGAACAGGCTTGCAGATAGGTAAGCAGAAAAGGACACTTTGAGTGATGAGGAGGGGCCTTCTCATGGAGCTCCAAACTCCAGTGCCCAGATGCATTCTCCATGGGGAGGGGTCAAGAACACAGTCTTTGGTATCAGACACACAAGAGTCTAAGTTCTACTTTAATTGCTGGAATGACCCCGTGTACATTACCTAACAGATGGGAAGAACTTATTGCCGTGGTTGGCATTAGCAAGTGTGGCACATATAATAACAGGTACAGCAGAAAAATGGGTTGAGTGCTGTTCGTAGAAACATAGAAAAGATCATGAAAAATGGTATCTAGGTATGTGGTGGAGAGGGATAGATTCAAGGCTAATAACCCTATCAGGCTCCAATGTCTCCGATAGGACATGGGACTATTTAAAGGCTGATGATTTAGAAAGGGAAATAAAATGAAGCTAAAACATGCAGTTGAGAGACTGGGAGAGAAGAGGCAGAAAAACAGTGGCTGTGGTACACAGAGAAGATAAAGTACCAATAGGAAGGACCACTTTAGAAGCACACCCTTGCCTGTTGTCATCATGATCTAGCTCTCCTGTGGAAACAGTCTCATTTTGCATTTATGAAGTACTAGTCTACCCTCAGTGCCTTATATGAAATGTTTTCCAAATAAATACAAATTCAGATTAAATGAGTAAACTTAGTGCAGAAATTTATAGAGAGCTAAAAGTATTATAAAACAGGTCAAGAATCAGGTACTCTTACTAATTTCTGCGCAGTGTACCTACCTCCACATATTTCTTCCGTCTCATCGTCTATGCATTCTCTATCATCACACTCACAAAATTTACCGTAAACAAGGCCACTTCCATCTGGATTATCACACTTACACCTGCCACAGTGACATGTACCTAAACCATCAAAACAAAACAAAAATTGTTTGTCAGACGCATATAAGTGATAATGATTTTTTTTAAATAGGTTTCATGCCCAACGTGGGGCTTGAACTCATGGTCCTGAAATCAAGACCTGAGCTGAGATCAAGAGTCAGATGTTCAACCCACTGAGCCACGCAGGCGCCCCAGTAATTAATGATTTTTAATATCTTTCAAAGACAGAGACAATTCAAATCAATTTAATTTTCAGTTATGTATTACTGTGGGTATGAAGAGATAGATAACAAAGTTCTTTCTTGGTAATTATAGTATAGCAATTATATGTTATGGCACATAACTATCATCATTGACCTCTAATAGTTTCATTAATGTACGATTTATTTATTCATTCATGTAAATATGACCTCCCCAAGTACAGAGCTACTTTATACATGGCCATCCAGTCAATGCATGAATGACTATCTTCTGATTACACCTGGGTCTGAAGTGTACTAAAGCATAAAATTCTAAGCTTTGTAAGGGAAGTAGCCTTGCTTATCTTCCTCACCAGTATTTATTCAATGCTTTGCACAATATTTGAGCATACTCTTTATATAATAAATATTTGTGGAATTCATTAACAAATGCATAAATTAAAAACTTAGAATCTCCTAGTAATTTCACTTCCACAGTGTTAAAACTGATACATACATCCTTATGACAACAGGACCAGAGCAGGTTTTCTTAGGTATAGAGTCCCAAAACCTCACTGAAACCTCAGGGCAGCTCAGAGTGACACAGAGGCCCTGGAGTCATCTGGTCTACCACTTGCCGCACGTGTGTATACTCAGCCAGCTTTGAGGATTTGACAACAACCCCTGAGAGTGATTTCATTGACAGTAGAACATAATTCAAATAATATTGAGAAATAGAATGTTCATTTAATGAACTTCCTTTTTAATACTTATTTTTCCACTTTTAATTTATCATCATAACAATCAACATACATGCACCGAGATTTTACCACTCACTAGATAGCATCCTAGACTTTGGAAATGCAACGAGAGACCAAGTCAGCCAGAATCCTCCTCTCAGAGTTTTATATGAGTAAACCAATGTGATGAAATAAATGGAGAAACGCAAAATGTTGCAGAAGAGCTTAGCAGGGGATTTAACCTGCTGACAGGATTTAACCCTGTGACATGGTGGTCAGTCCCCAGGGAAGCAGCTCTGACATGAGGAACTGAGAGCAAAGTAAAAATAATGGGCAAGAGAAGTGAGATGGCGGAGAGGCCCACTTCCCACAAGAGACTATAGCAAAGGCTGTGAGATAAAAGAGGAAATGAGGAGAAAAAGTCAAAGATGGCTGGAACATAGAAAATGATGTGGAAAGAGGCATGAAATGAATATGGTAACTGAAGGTGCCGTTTATGGATGTGCTATAGGTCATGTTAAAGATTTCCAACCTTAATCCAAGAAAAAGTGAGAAACCATAGAAATATTTTCAGCCAGGGGGTCATGTGATCAGGGATGCATTTTTACCAGATTACTCTAGTTATTACATGAGGGATGAACTGAAAATGAGACACAGTGGACGTGAGGATGTGTTATTCCATTTGTCTGCAGGAAAGAAGACAGAGGCTGACGAGGGTGATGGCAGTGAGTCAGAAAGAAGCAAATATTCTTGGGGGTATTTTCAGGGGAAAGAACAGATGACTCAGTGACTGAATATAAGTGGTGAAGAATCAGGAGGAACCAAGGTGATACTGATATTTGAACTGAGCTACTGGATATTGGCAAGTGTGTGTGTGGTGTGCCCAAAAGTGCATGGATTTAGGATAAAGGGGATTTGTACCCAAGTCCAGGTTCTAGTAATCAATAGCTATACATTTTTAAGGCTGTTATATTCATCTCTAACTTTCAAATTCCTCATCTGCAAGTAAATCTGCTTCATAGAGCTGCTATGAGAACCCAGCAGTAAAGTATCATCCAGCCATCTTTCTGAAAACAATATTGTGTCCAGTTATGTCATAGGCTTTCAGAAAATGTTAGGTACTTCATCTCCTTCCAAGAAGATACTGAGTATTTGAGGCATGTTCCCAAACATTTCCTCCAGGCTCACTTTATATTGATGGACCCCATAATGTCCTGTCTTCATACCCTCTGCATGATTCTGATACCCAGGTCACTAGCAATTAGGCATTATATTTAAGAAATTTTTCTCTCATGGTTACATGGAAGTGGCGATTTTGCAGAATTTGAGCTAATTATTTTTCTTCCTTGAGAATACTCATGCATTTTACATTTATTAAATTTCATTTTGTGTGTTTTCTCCCTGAAAACTATTTTAATTTATAAAAGTTCATTTCAAGTCGAATTCTATATAATTCATGATATTGTCTCATCTCATTTTTTCTCTAATTATCACCTTCTTTTTCATTTTCACATTTATTCATGCTGTCTTTCAACCATCCACATATCCATTCATTACATTTTCTTGCTGCCTATTATATTGTTGGCAAAGTACCAGGTGCTATAGGAGATAATAAGATACAGAAAATTAAAACTAAGTAAATCATAGAGCAGGAAGATAGAGCTAGGCGATCAATCATTTTTACACATACATATGGGACCAGATGACACAAGGGCATTTGCAACAGATTTGTGACAGATGCTATATAGAAAGTATAAACCTCAGTCTGACTCTGCAAAGGAGGAAAGGCACAGTAAAGGAGCAAGTTCTTGAGTTGACACATGATGTATGGATAGAATTTCAACAAGTGGAGATGGAGAAAAGGCTTGTGATGTTGAGGAAGGAGACTCAGCTAAGGAGAAATGAATTTAACAACAGTGCAGAGTCTGGCTTGAGTTTGGAGAAGAGGGTCGGTTAAGGCAAAGAGTAGAGGATCAAGAATATTGGCTAAGGATTTTAGAATTTATCTGTTTGAATAGCACGAGACTCTCATGGTTGGGAGCGACGTGTGACATCATCAGGGCAGTGTACACAGTAAGCTGTTTTCAGGAAAGACAGGAAGGAACAGTCTCTACCTCTGAATTCTACATCTTCTCACTGACACCCCAACAGGCAGGCTTACTCCCATCCACGCATCTGAATCGTTCCTGGCTAATGTGGGACATTTACAACAGCTCAGAGTATTCCTGTCTCACCCACCGAGTAGAATTCACAACTGAGGCTCCAAGATACAACATACGGAAGCCCAGGCAAAAGTGACAGACTCCTGTGTTCATGTTATGTCATACTGCTTCTTTTTCTTGGTTGCCAGTGAGCTCAGGCTCTGGGATTGGTCTTCTGCTTTATGCTAGATTATTTTTGTTCTGACTTTTCATCCTCACTAGTACAGCTGAACTCTCTCTAGGAGGACTTCCCTGTCGGGAACGCTGCCCACACTCCTGTGTGATGGCGCTGGAGCCCCACTTTTCAGACTGTCCCTTGCCTTCTGCACCCCTACAGAGTCAGCTTCTGGAACATCGTTAGCTCCAGCTCCATCTCATCCTGCCCTGCAGTCTTCTGGCCAGTCCAGTTTCCTCCTCTTCCCCTTCTGCTCCAAGCTGTTTCCAGAAAGCCACATCATGATATAAGGGGAAAGATTAGTAGAGACAACTCAGAGCCTAATATAGTTGTAGGGTGGTGGTCCAGATCTAGGCTGGTAGAAATAGACATTAAAAGAAGCCATGTGAGACAGAGACTGCTAAAGTGAACTTGAAAGTCCTCTCTACTGAGTAGACAGTAAGAGAGAAAAGATTAAATGTAACACTGAGTATGAATTAACCTTTTGGTGAGACAATCTCACATCTAGTTATTTATCCTGAAAATATGTCTCCAAAAATATGAAAACACATACATCCAATTTATTCTCTGCATTAATATTTGTAATTTCAATATACTATAAAGTGCCTAATGCCCAACCATAAGAGATTGAGTGAATAAATTATGTCACCCTATAGAGCTGAGTCCTACGTAACTGAAAAAAGAATGAGGAAGATTTCTACATACTGATGTAGAGTGAATTCTGGAAGATGCTGAGTGGCAAAGCCAGAGTGCAAAAGAACATATATGACATGCTATTTTTTGTGTAGGGGATGAAGAAAAAGCCAAAATATAATAACACATGCATCTATTTATCTTTACAAAAAACAAACACACACAGATACAGCAGAATGTAGTAAAGCTGGTTACCTATCAGGTATGAAAAGAAGCAGGAGGGAAGGGTTAGGAAGAAAGTCATAATTCATTAAGTAGGCTTTTTAAAAATATAGTTTTGACTTTTGGAAGCATGTTCATGTTCAACATATTGTAAAATAAAATCAACAAGGATGGAAAGGAGGGGGACAAAAACTCTAAAACTGAAAGCCATCTGAAGTAAATAAGCTCAAAGTATTTCAAATGAGTACAATAACTATACTAAAGGGAGAGGAAAATAACAGAAATCCAAGTAACTTATGAACACAGCAATTAACTGAGTATCCCAATCTTGAGCATGACTGGGGTGGGGGTGGGGGAGTGGGAGAGGAGGTCACTTGCAAACAAATCCTAACATATTTGGTAGATTTGTCTTGTATAGTGGCATGCATGAAGCAATTCTAAAAACAATTTTAGGTGTAGTATAAGATTGAACAAATGAGCAAATATATCCATGAGGTTGGGAGCCAGAGTCCTTTCCCTATGAAAAATTAGACATGCAAATATGGAAGGTGAAAAACAGGAAGTAACCTTGTGGGGGCTGGACTGAAGTTGGATATATTGGTGTGAATTCATAATTTCTAAAATATGTATGTGTGTGTATATGCATAGACATGAGCATGTACATATGAATATGGACATATATACCTGTTCATGCGTGTTTACTAGCCTGTTTGCAGAAAGGGCCAAGAAGCAAATTTACCCCAGTAGAAATAAACGTCCCTAGAGTTCACATTTTTTATTCTACTACCATTCTTCACCTTAAAGGGACCAAGGTTCTTTAGTTGATTCCACAGCTGTGGCACCTCAGGTACAGTATGATTCTGGAATATCTTGTTATGCCAGGAAGGAAAGAATTGCCGAAACAAAATAAAAGAGAACAATGGAGGCACAACAAGGACTGAGAAGCTAGCTTGAAGGGGCTCCAACCGCCTAATCTGAGACAATCTGAGCACCAGAATAATTAAGTGCAATAATGAATAATAAACCATTGAAATAATGGGAATTGTGATACTGGACTGATAATAAATCACTAAGTAAATAAAATATCAAATAACAGGTAGAGGAGAGAAGACTCTTGCTTGTGGTAGAATGTTGAGTACCAACTGGTAAATATGGAGGGAATGTTTGGAGTGTGGAAATCATCATATTTCAGTCACCGGTGTAAACACTGGGTCAGGTGAAAGTCATCAGTGGATGGTAAATCAAGGGTAACTTTGATGAGGATGTGATATATTATCTTTTCTAAGTGTTTCCCCACAAACTGCCCATTTGTTACAAGGGCAAAATCAGTAATTACAGAGCTGAGACATCAGACAGCACCTTGACTGGGTGATCAAAATTAACTGTTGGGAGCCGTTTCTGAACTCATAGGTTGAGAAAGAACTCCTTGTGAGGTTAAGGTAAGTTGCAGGGACTCTTACTGTCAGATGGTGACCAATATCCACCCTCACCCAATTGTTTCTGCTTCGAGCATCAACCCCCAAGGCAACTTGTGATTGGTATTCGGAGTGACTTATTCTGGCCTTGAATATGCTGATTGCACTCTGTGAAGGAACCTATTGTAGGAACATCTCTTGTGATTATGGGAGCAAATATTTGTGTTTCCTGAAAGACCTGTTTTTCTTAATACTTCCCCTTAAACAAACAGGCTATTGACCTCTGCTCACAAAGAACTAACTTTGCCCTTTTGATGCTAAAAACATTGTCTTGTATGCTAAAGATACCTTCCTTCCCCATAGGATAAGCATCTAAATCCCCTACCTCAATCACTATTGATAAAGGTTATGCAGGAGTCTTCTACAAATCTATGTTCTGGGAAACTCTTACATATCAAAGAAATTTGTCATCAGAAATCATTGTCTGAGTGGGGCGCCTGGGTGGCTTAGTCAGTTAAGCGTCCGACTTTCGCTTAGGTCATGATCTCGCGGTTCATGGGTTTGAGCCCCGCGTCGGACTCTGTGCTGACTGCCAGCTCAGAGCCTGGAGCCTATTTCAGAGTCTGTATTTCCCTCTCTGACCCTCCCCTGCTCACGCTGTCTCTCTCTCTCTCTCTCCTAGAAATAAATAAAAATATTAAAAAAAAAAAAAAAAAGAAATCATTGTCTGAGGCAAATGTCACTTCTGTGCCATCCCCCAAATACTTAATTATAAAATAAATTTGATCCCCAGTCAGAGCAGAGATGCCTGCCTGGTGACCAGAAAGATTCTTGTGGCTCTCATCCCTCCCTCGCCGACACCGTCCATCTTTCAGGGACCCCTAGACCTGGCCAGAGCGGGATTCCAGCAATTAACCTCACCAGTGAAAGCAGATGGATAACATAGACTTCCGGATGACACATCCTGAGAACACAAAATCATCTATCTGGCAATTCAGCTAAGAATGTATGACATGAATCTAATCATGAGGACACATCAGACAAAGCCAAAATGAGTAACATTCTATTAAAAAAAAAGGGATGGAGACAATTTTCTTCAAAATTTTCAGTGCTATAATACCATCATCTATGGAAATGGTCCAGATGAAAGGAGGCTAACAAGAGATGACAGCTACAGAGAATTCTGCCCTAGACTAGAACCTATGCAGGTGGGGGAAATGCTGGAAAGGACATTGTTGGGTCAATAAATGAAAGTGGAATATGGATGGTAGATTACATAAAAGTATTGTACCGATGCTAAAAAAAGATACCTTTGTTCTATATCTTACCAAATATGTTTGATTATTTACTGAAACAATTCTGTAAATTTTCTCCTTTAAGGTATGTTAAGGTAGCAAATCACATGTTTAATTCCATAATGTTGAAACATTGGGATTCCTAATCTAACCCCTAGTTGGTTAAAAAGAAAAAAACTAGATCTGATTTTAAAAATAAAGAATAAATAAATAAATAAATCCAAAAATAAAGAACAAACAAACAAAACAATTCAAGTCTTATTATAACTGAAAGAAATCTGGAAAGCTGGACGTTCTCAAAATGAAGAGACTCTGCGGTAAGTGTACGTGTGCACTTGCCCGTGTGTGTTGGGAGGAGTAGGTGCTAGGAACTCGAGGTAGAAAAATCCTACTGATAAGACAGAAAAGACTGAGGTGCTGGAGAGAAGCAAGGAGGGTATCAGTGAACACAAAAATTGACCTGACTGTTAATTGACCCATCCACTCACACCTTGCTTTAGGTGTCGTCTTGATTTCTACTAGCAAAACCCTCTTACTGCATTTAATCTACACAGAGCAATTCACTGGAATCAAAGATTGTGGAAAGATCCTAGCTCTGAATGTGGGACTCCACCAACAAGGAGAGGAGCTTCAGGGAGGAAGATTCTCACTCTAGTCAAATACTTGCCATTAGCACACAAAACAATGGCTCACACCACGGATCTCCATAAGAATTACTTGAAGAGCTTGAAAAACCCACTACAGTCCAGACCATACCCACCAAAACAACTGAATCAAAGCCTCTAGCATTGGAAGGAGCATTCTCAAGTTCAACCAGCTTTGAGAAAAGCTCACTTTTGAGGTTCCATGTGCCCAAATATGAAAAGAGTATTTAAGTATAATAATACCAGATTAGTATTATTGAAACCAAAATCAGTTGTCTTGTTTTATATGGTTATGGTCATTAATTTTAACAGCTTCACTATAACTTTCTAAAAAACAGTATTAAATGACTTCTGTGAGATACGAAAATATTTTGGCCAAACGTAAAATCTTGACGTCACTCTATTCTTCCATGAGTTTTTTTTTTACATCCAATGCATCTAAAGCTTCTATCAAATTAAAAAAAAGTTGGTTCTATTTGATACTGAAGTATAAATTCAAAGCACCCTTGATCTGTAATAGAAAATAATTAAGTCAGTTTATATAAATCCTTTTAAAAAGATTTAATCCAGCATTCAAAATCATGGCTCACAATTTACATAAAATGTTGTTGGGGTGTTGTTTCCTGTGAATATCCTGCTTGAAGAAGGCATTTGGAACAGCTGGAGAGCATCAAACTTGCCAGTCTCAGCAAGATGACATTTTTTCCCTATTGATTTATCTGAATTTCATTTCAAAAAAATATACTCAAAAGCATTCTCTCTCAGAGGTCCCACATTTCTTGACACCTACATGTTTCCATTAAAACCCAAATTTGATTATTTAAGAATTTTCATAGGGGCACCTGGGTGGCTCAGTCGGTTGGGCATATGACTTCGGCTCAGGTCATGATCTCACAGCTCATGGGTTCGAGCCCCACATTGGGCTCTGTGCTGATAGCTCAGAGCCTGCAGCCTGTTTCAGATTCTGTATCTCCCTCTCTCTGACCCTCCCCTGCTCATGCTGTCTCTCTCTGTCTCTCAAAAAAATAAATAAAAACATTAAAAAAAAAGAATTTTTATAGAGTTCTTACCTGCATTAGAGCAGATGACATCTTGAGAATTCTTGCACATTTGGTTACTCTTTTTCTTTGTCAGGTCACAGTGAGTTGGGTACTGGCAGGCGTCCCCAAACCATCCTTCCTCACATTTGCACCTGCCACAGTCACACTTACCATGGCCTGAGGATTTAACAACATCCAGTTAGACTCAAATTGTTTTCCAAAGAAACCCATTATTGTAACAGAAAGCCTTAAGGGTGATGTTGGTTCAGGACTGAGCTATAATAAATTCAAACGCATGTACATTGTGGGGGCTGAGGGGTACTCCGACTGCCTACAGCATCATGGAATATGTGGATTTTGTTTCAATAACCAAAGTTGATAAATCATTCTAAAACCAGTCATTAATTTGTAGAGACCCTAGGATAGATCATAAGCCAGAAATTTGCTTATACACTTGGTCAGAAAATTTAACACTAAAAAACAAAGATCCCTCTAGCACCTCCACAGTTAAAACACAAAAGCCCAATAAAAATTATTTCCATGTAACTGCATTTATAATACATAAAACCACCAGCTCTGAGTAACAAATCTTACCTGAAACTTCACTAAACTGAACATTGGCCCTAGATTTATTGGAATTTAGCATGTAATAAAGTTTAATGGACATAATTAAATACCACCTTGGGATAAGATTGACATGAGAAAGAAGTATATACTTTGTTTCTTAATAAGAAAATGTGGTTTAAGAATCAAAAGGGTTAAGGGCCATAGTCATCTACCTCCATAGAAATTACTCTGCTTTTCATGTTCTTGAGTCAACACTGGGCTGTTTTATTGTTATTATAATTAACTGTATTAAGTCTTGGTTAATGAATGCTACCACTGTTTATATTGACTACACACTAGTGAGATCGAAGTGTAATATATGTACAATACTTGGCTCCTGTCCTCAAGTAACTTTAAAAGTTCAAAGTTGAAGCCAATATATAAAGGAGGGGTTATCCTCGGCCAGAAATATTCATCAGACCTTGTGTTAACTTGAGCAATATAGTCTCCTATAGAAATAAGAGGAGAGAGACTCTCTGAACTTCCTTGACCTTTAACTGAGCCTTGAAAGGTGAGCAGAGTTTGAATGGGCTGCAGGGAAAATATTCTTATATTACTCAAAATAATAATGCTATGTACCAATGCCTGAAATTCAAAGACCACAGTGGAATGGAATCATTGATCTGGTGCCAGTAGTCATTCAGTGTGGCAGCCAAAATCCACATGATGAGGTCCAGATGGTCAGTCAGAATGAATGGCTCGGAGGCTGTCTCATTTGGGCATGTTCAGCAAAGCCTGAATCTATGATTGGTTGTGACTTTAAACCTTTTCTGAATGTTGCCCAGTCCATGTAAATGTTTCTATTCCTGTTGCATTTCTCAAATTAATTATTCTTTTTTGCAAACAAAACCTTGCATGCACCCTAATTGTAATTCATTTTATCCAGTGCACATTACTGTCAAATTGATTGTATCATTTTGCATTCCTGTCTGGCCCTACACAATATTGTCAATCTCGGCCAACTTGGTATCATTTACAAGCATAAGTGATCTCTCCTGCCAACCATCCAGTCTATTTATAAATTAAGCCAAATTCTTGAAGTGGCTAGGTCTCTTTTTGCAAAGAAGTGTCTTGGTAACTATAAATACTCTTTTATAATATTAGTATATTAGGTCGAACCACATGGGATCACCATTATTATTAGTTTAATATCAGCTATTTCTTATGGTTCATCCCAATAAAAAGGTTTTATCTAAACAGCAAAGAAAATAGAAATGACTTAGAAGATAATGAAATGCAGTAGCAATGATTTGCTGAATCTGGAATAAAAGAATACTCAATGTTGCTTTTGGATGGGATGTCTCAGATCCTAACCAAAGGTATATATAACAGAGATGGGTGCCGGTGGGTAGGCTAAAGGTTAGAGATTTGTTAAAGGTGGGAGATTTTAAAAATAGCAGAAAAATGTACAGATGATAGGAAGAGACCCAAAGAAGCATCAGGGGAAGCAATATTCTAAGGTGCTCACATCCCAAAGTTAGCTCATGGAGGTCCAGGTTCAGAAATTTCTCCCATAAAAGGTTCTATGATAAAATGAACATGGGAAAGAGTCACACTATATTTTTCTTTTAGTGGGTCATGACATCAATCAGCAAACTGAAGCTTCTTCATGTCCTGTCATGAAAAAGCTGTTTAACTTTGGCTCAGAATACATAATGTTTTTTTTTACTAAGTTGTCACTTTTTTCTCAAAAACTATATAAATTTCCTAGACCACACTTAGAGCAATGCTGTATTAGATAATGTGCTTCCAGCTTTTCATTAACATCTGATCAGAGGTGAAGAAGACAGCCAATGTAAGACAAGGTCATCTGCCTTTATATTGTTTCTAAATTTTATATCCTTTATTTAGGAAAGTGAGTAGAAATCCATTTTTTTCACTGTCAAGAATTATCAAGTAATACCCTGTATGACCTAATTTGGAGCTAATTATATAATTTCTTTAAGACAGAAAATACTCTTCAGACCACTTTTACTCTTCCTCTATGGGTTAATAATTTCTTGAGCCAAGTCCAAGGGAATTAGATTGCTACATTATTGTACTTATAGGTCATCTCGATTGCAGTGTCAACAATATGACTTTCAAAAACATTCTATTTTTCAAAACAATGTATCCGTTGGGAATGATGGCCCAGGAGAACCAAAGCAAAACCCCTATATCCTAAGTCCCAGAAGAGGGCTCCTTTTGTCCAAGGTTGAAGGTCTTTGCCAGCTACGTGAAATCCTAACCAGCAAAGCACTCACCACTCCTGGCTGTCTAGGCCTCTCTAAGTCTGTTTCTTCTCTAGAGAACACTTAGAAAATGCAGTCTTGAAATGAACAATCCAGGATGCTTGGCAATAAATTGCTGCCCTTCAAATAAGTTCCCAAGGAGTCAGGGGAAAACACACACACAAAACAAGTATGTCAGAGAAAGGCCAAAGCAACTCCTGCCAAGGTAACAAGAAAGAAAAAGCAAAAGGCCAACCCTGCTGCTTCCAGGGTCGGCAGCAGAATCGCCAGTCACTAGAAAGGGCCAACAAGCCATAGTGGAGGGTTAAATCCAGTAGGGTAGCCTCCTGTTCAGGGAAGAATGTGGAGGCTTAGCCGGCTTTCTCCAGTGCTTCCCAGAGGTGAGCTAAGCCCTGCCTTGATCTCCACTGATAAAGGAAAGGCACCCCAACAGACAGAAATAAGTCGCTTTTGTGATTCTTTAACTCGCATCAGCGGCTCCACCATTACTTCTGGATCCCTTTTACCTTGGGAAGGCAAAAAGTCATCTAGTGGATGAATTTGTTACGTTAGTGAACAATGGAGAAGTGGCTGCTTTTTATTTTTAAATTAAAACAAAGTGCAATCAAACAGATGTAAAGACTTTGCCAGTGTTGAAGAACTTTAAAAAAAAAAAAATCTATTAGCCATTTGTATATACCAATGGAAGAGAATTGCACCTCTTTTCCAAATAAAAAATAATAATAAAGGCAAAGAAGAGAGGAATGAACTCTCCTCCAAGTCTTCTGATATTTGGGGTAAAAATAAACTGCCACAACTAATGTGCCTATCATATTAGCCATGTATCTGTGGCTTCAAGTCTTAAAAAGGTAAAAAATGATAGATAGATAGATAGATAGATAGATAGATAGATAGATGCATACATACATACATACATAGATGCACATGCAGGTAGGTATAGGTATAAGATGAATGGATAAAGGTGATGTGGTATATGCATATGTGAAATGTTACTCAGTCATGAGAAACAAAGTCATGAGAAAGTCATCCTGTTGTTTAGAACAACAAAGATGGTTCTTGAGGGCATTATGCTAAATCTGAGAAAGACAATCACTATATGATCTCACCTATATGTAGGAATCTTAAAAAAAAAAAAAAAAAAACAACCATGTAGGAACCTAAAACACAAACAAACAAACAAGAAAACCCAAGCACATGAAAAAAGAGATCTGGTTTGTAGTTTCCAGAGGCAGGGGGTCAGGGACGGACGTTGGAGGAGGGTGATCAAAAGGTACAATTTCCAGTTAGAAGGAGTGCTCGGTACGTAATGTACAACACGAGGTCTAGGTTGGCACTGTGTACGGCACATGCAAAAATTATTAAGAGAATGGAACCTAAGAGTTCTAATCACAAGGAAACAATAAAACATTGTGTACCTGTATGAGACGATGGATGTTAATTAAACTACCTGCGGCCATTTCCCAATGCATGTAAGTCAAGCCATCACACACGGTAAACTTACACAGTGTTGCATGTTAATTATTATCGCAACAAAACTGGAAAATCCTGATTATTAATTATTATTTCATGAATACTACTGGCAACAATTTTATCATTTAGATTTTAACATTTAGATGTGAAAAAATGATTCTCTCTGAGGGTCAAATAAGCTAGGTATACCACTCTAGAGCCTCATGGCAACCCCAAAGGAGACATTTTAATTTAAGCACTCGGTTGGCCCTGCAAATCCATTCGTGTTGGTCAAATATGCAAATTCCCATGACCTGCACTGTGTCCTATTTTCCAGCACATTCAAGCAAGCTCACTTAATAAGCTCAAATTTTCTCTTATTCTTTCACATCCACTATATCACCATCCTTCTCTAGGTATAAGAAACAAAAGAGCTACCTATGCAACATCTAGAATTGAAGAAAAGATTGTGAAAGGATCCCTTATTGAATATTACAATTATTTCACAGTTTGCAATAGAAATTCTGACTCTTTTCAGGACAGGAGCATCAGTCCCTGACTTGCTTCTCAGGCCAAACAAACAAACAACAAAAAAAAACTTCTTAGACACTTCTGCTTCCCATTCCTAGGAACAATGGAAGAATTTTGTGTAGCAGAGAGCTTTGCCCTAGAAAATAAAAAGGTCTGGGCTCTAGTCCTGCCTTGACATTAATCAGACATGTGATCTTGATCAGGAAATTAGTAGACAGGAAAGGGACAATAATAATTATTAGCTTCCAGGTACCATGATAAGTACTTTATACAGGCTAGTCTGCTTTATTTTCATAAGGAGTCAGTGAAATAGATTTTGTTTCCCAGTTTTACAAAGAAGAGGAGTCAAGTATAACTAGC